TAAATAAAATACAGTACAAACAGTCGGACACAGTGGCAAAGTGCTCATTCAGTAAATGCATAGCTAAACAGATGTGTTTTGAGTCTGGATTTGAATGTGACTACTGTAGGAGCACATCTGATCTCTTCTGGAAGCTGGTTCCAGCTGCGGCTGGCATAGTAGCTAAAAGCAGACTCTCCTTGCTTAGAGTGAACCCTTGGTATTTCTAGCTGATGTGATCCTAATGATCTGAGTGATCTGTTGGGTTTATATTCAGTGAGCATATCTGCAATGTATTTAGGTCCTAGGCCATTAAATGATTTATATACCAGTAATAATACTTTAAAATCAATCCTAAATGTAACTGGGAGCCAGTGTAAAGACCTGAGGACTGGTGTGATGTGTTCATATTTTCTGGTTCTGCTCAGAAGCCTGGCAGCAGCGTTCTGTATGAGCTGCAACTGTCTTATGGTCTTTTTAGGAAGGCCAGTGAGGAGTCCATTACAATAATCCACCCTGCTGGTGATGAAAGCATGCACAAGTTTCTCTAAGTCTTGACTGGAAACAAAGCATCTAATTCTTGCAATATTTTTCAGATGATAGTATGCTGATTTAGTTATTGATTTGACATGACTACTGAAACTAAGGTCTGACTCTAGAGACACACCAAGATTCCTGACTTGATTTTTAGTTGTTAGACCCCTAGCGTCAAGGTATGCATTCACCTTGAGAACTTCATCTTTGTTTCCAAACGCAATGACTTCAGTTTTGTCTTTGTTTAACTGAAGAAAGTTTTGGCACATCCAACTGTTTACTTCATCAATGCATTGGCACAGGGAGTCAATGGGGCTGTAATCGTTAGGCGATAGGGATAAGTAGAGCTGTGTGTCGTCTGCATAGCTGTGGTAAGAGATTTTGTTCTTTCTCATTATTTGGCTCATTGGGAGCATGTACAGGTTGAACAGGAGTGGTGCAAGAATTGAGCCTTGAGGGACTCCGCATGTCATGGACGTCCACTCAGACTTATGGTCTCCTATACTCACATAATAACCTCTCCCTTCTAAGTATGACCTGAACCATTTTAGGACTATCCCAGAAAGCCCCACCCAGTTTTCCAGCCTGTCAAGAAGTATGTCGTGATCGACAGTGTCAAATGCAGCACTGAGGTCGAGTAGTACCAGCACTGATAATTTCCCTGTATCAGTATTTAAGCGAATATCATTTATTATCTTTATGAGCGCTGTCTCTGTGCTGTGATGCGATCTGAAACCAGATTGAAAATTGTCAAAGTATCCATTCAAGCTTAAGAATTTGTTCACCTGATTGAAGACAACTTTTTCAATGATCTTCCCTATGAAAGGAAGATTTGAGATCGGTCTATAGTTGCTTAATATGGTCTTATCCAGATTGATCTTTTTCAGGAGGGGCTTGACAACTGCAGTTTTCAGGGAGTTTGGAAAATTCCCAGAGAGAAGTGAGGCATTTACCATTTCTAGGAGATCTGCTTCTAAACAGTTTAACACACTTTTGAAGAAAGATGTGGGAAGTGCGTCAAGGGCGCAGGTTGATGTTTTAAGGTGCTGTACGGTTTCTTCTAAAATTTTGCCATCAATTTCTTCAAAATCAGACATAGTAGCTACTTTCTGCGGTTGTGGTCTGATCTGTCTGACCCCAGTGCGGCTCAATGATGTGCTGATCACCTTTCTGATATTATTGATTTTCTCAGAGAAGAAAAAAGCAAACTCCCTGCACTTGCTGTCTGAAAGCATTTCACTGGGAATCTGGCTTGGGGGGTTTGTCAGTCTCTCTACAGTAGCAAAAAGAGTGCGTGTGTTGTTTAAGTTGCTGTTTATAATATTTGAGAAGAAAGTCTGTCTAGCTTTGCCTAGTTCCATATTAAAAGCATGGATGGTGTCTTTGTAGATGTTATAATGGACTACAAGTTTTGTCTTCCGCCACATGCGCTCTGTTTTTCTGCATTGTCTTTTCATATTTTGCACAGCTGTTGAGTTTCTCCAAGGTGCTTTTTGTCTACCACTCTTCCTGACTTTCACAGGAGCAATATCATCAATTACACTTTTAACTTTTGAGTTAAAACAATCAAGGAGAAAATCAACAGAGTCAGCAGATATGCTTGGTGTTGAAGATATAGCCTTCATAAATAGTACACTAGTGTTCTCATTTATGCATCTCTTCTTGACAGACACAGATCTAGCTTCAATGGCAGGAGAGATCAATATATCAAAGAAAATACAGAAATGATCAGACAGTGCTACATCCTTAATAACAATCGATGAAATGTTTAGACCCTTACTGATAAGTAAATCTAGAGTGTGTCCACGAGTGTGTGTCGGTCCGTGTACATGCTGAATCAGGTCAAAAGTTTTTAAAACAGTTTTGATTTCTTTTGCCATATTTGTATCATTATCTATGTGAATGTTAAAATCTCCAGCAATTGCAAAACAGTCGAACTCTGAGGAAATTGTTGATAACAGTTCTGTAAAGTCCTCAGCAAAGGCTGGAGAGTATTTTGGAGGCCTGTAAATAATGATAAGTAAAATGCGTGGGGCACCTTTTAAAACAATACCGAGATATTCAAAAGACGGGTAGTTACCAAATGATGTTTGCTTACATTGATAGACATCCTTAAAAAGAAAAATTTAATTTTTATTTAGAAGGATGTCCTGTTACCTTATCGACTACAGTAAAAGACCTGGGTGTTATCCTAGACCGCAACTTGTCTTTCGAAAATCATATTTCGTATGTTACAAGAACAGCTTTTTTCCACCTTAGAAACATTGCTAAATTACGTAACATGCTATCTGTTTCTGATGCAGAAAAGTTAGTTCATGCATTCATGACCTCGAGACTAGATTACTGTAATGCTTTATTAGCTGGTTGTCCTGCATCTTCAATAAACAAGCTACAGTTAGTGCAAAATGCAGCCGCTAGAGTTCTTACTAGGTCAAGAAAATATGATCATATAACACCGATTCTATCATCTCTGCACTGGTTACCTATTAAGTTCCGTATCAATTACAAAGTACTACTACTGACCTATAAAGCCCTAAATGGTTTAGCTCCTGTGTATTTAATGGACCTTCTATCGCCCTACAATCCATCGCGTTCTTTAAGATCCTGAAATTCGAGGCTTCTGGTCATTCCTAGGATATCTAAGTCCACTAAAGGAGGGAGGGCGTTCTCACATTTAGCTCCTAAACTCTGGAATAGCCTTCCTGATACTGTTCGTGGCTCAGACTTGCTCTCCCAGTTCAAAACTAGATTAAAGACGCATCTCTTCAGCCAAGCATTCACATAATGCTTACCTTTTATACCACTGTTGAATCAGATCGACTGCATTAATATTATGAACAGCAGCTACGCTAATTATTTCCCATCTGCTTTTCTGCTGTTATCTCGGGACGCTAGTCCCGAGGTAAATAGCGTTCGTCAGCTCCAGTTTGTATCCAGACTCTCACGGAGACTTCTGATGCCCCAACGCCTGCGATGAGACGACTCGACGCCTGCGATGAGACGACTCGACGCCTGTGAAGAGACGACTCGACGCCTGTGAAGAGACGACTCGACGCCTGTGAAGAGACGACTCGACGCCTGTGAAGAGACGACTCGACGCCTGTGAAGAGACGACTCGACGCCTGTGAAGAGACGACTCGACGCCTGTGAAGAGACGACTCGACGCCTGTGAAGAGACGACTCGACGCCTGTGAAGAGACGACTCGACGCCTGTGAAGAGACGACTCGACGCCTGTGAAGAGACGACTCAATGCCGGCGATATGTTATGCCCTAAATTAATACATGATGATTAACTAACTATATTCTTCTATGTACATTTCTGAAATGCACTTTCTGTAAAGCTGCTTTGAAACAATATGTATTGTGAAAAGCGCTATACAAATAAATTTGAATTGAATTGAATTGAATGATGTTACACACAATGTTACGCAGAAAACACTTGTGATGTTACGCAGAATGTTACGCAGAATACACTCGTGATGTTACGCAGAATGTTACTCAGAATACACTCGTGATGTTACGCATAATGTTACGCAGAATACACTCGTGATGTTACGCAGAATGTTACGCAGAATACACTCATGATGTTACGCAGAATGTTACGCAGAATACACTCATGATGTTACGCAGAATGTTACGCAGAATACACTCATGATGTTACGCAGAATGTTACGCAGAAAACACTTGTGATGTTACGCAGAATGTTACGCAGAAAACACTTGTGATGTTACGCAGAATGTTACGCAGAATACACTCATGATGTTACGCAGAATGTTACGCAGAATACACTCGTGATGTTACGCACAATGTTACGCAGAAAACACTTGTGATGTTACGCAGAATACACTCGTGATGTTACGCACAATGTTACGCAGAATACACTCGTGATGTTACGCACAATGTTACGCAGAATACACTCATGATGTTACGCAGAATGTTAAACATAATACACTCATGATGTTACGCACAATGTTACGCAGAAAACACTTGTGATGTTACGCAGAATGTTACGCAGAAAACACTTGTGATGTTACGCAGAATGTTACGCAGAATACACTCATGATGTTACGCAGAATGTTAAACATAATACACTCGTGATGTTACGCACAATGTTACGCAGAAAACACTTGTGATGTTACGCAGAATGTTACGCAGAATACACTCGTGATGTTACGCAGAATGTTACGCAGAATACACTCGTGATGTTGCGCAGAATACACTCATGATGTTACACAGAATTTTACACAGAATACACTTTGGATGTTACGTAGAAAGAAAGTCTGTGGAAACAAGCTGGAATCTCGAATGCTAAAGAAAACACGTCTTGTTTGTAGGATTTAGACACAAAAGGCTAATAAATATATGATACAAAGTATTAATTTTGTGTTTGCAAATTAAAAAAATATATTTTTAAGGTTTTTACTATTGCTGAAATAAAGTGTAAAGTTTTCGAACATGTTAAACTGACTGTCTTCTCTACCCGTACCTCTGCTCCCGTCCGCATCTGTCTGGAAGCCGCTGTTGTCCGAGCCTGTTCTCGGCTCCACTGAAGCTGGTGTTCTGGGGCTCGTCCAGCCAGTGAAGTCCAGAGGCGGGTCTTTGGTGCGGGCGTCGCTCCTGCACATGAAGCAGACCTGAGTGAAACCATGTCCCAGGAGCAGCACCCAGCCGTTAGCGGTCAGTGCCACGCTGATCACGGGGTCGTCCCAGCCGGGGCTGCGGCCCATGGCTCGGTTCCCGTAGGCGAGCAGCGTGACCCAGACGATCCAGACGGAGACGCTCAGCATCAGCGTGAGGACCAGCAGCCCGGCCTGCAGCTTGTTCCACCAGCGCGTCTGTCCGCTGTAGCTGTAGCTGTAGGTGACGCACGCGCGCCGAAGGAAGCTCAGCGCTAACACCAGTGCCACGGCTATCAGGAGCATCACGTAAATCTGCAGCATGACGAACTCCGGCGGTGAGAACTGGCACGTCCTCTTGTCCTGCACCAGCACTACCAGCAGCCACTCCACCACTAAGATCACCTGCACCAGCGCTAGCGCCGCGGTCACGCACACCTCCCTCCACCCGCGCGCTAGTGCCGCCCCCAACAGGGCCAGACCGCGCGCTAGCAGAGCGCCGAACGCCGTGCTGAACACCACGCTGAAGGCAAACACGCGCGCCGGGCAGGTCTGTGGGGAGAGCGAGATCATGAAGCAGTAGGGGAGAGCGAAGACGCCGGCTGTGGCTAGCAGGAACAGCAGCAGTGCCGCTAGCGCACCGGATCGACGGCGGGACCACAGCAGCAGAACCAGCATCAGCACCACACAGCTCACCAGGCCCAGCCCAGACACAGCCTGAACGACCACACCCCACGTGTCACACAGAGCCCAGTACGTCTGAGCCAGAGCCGGGCCGCAGCCCGCCGGCCTGGAGCCTTTCCCCAGATGAAGATCCATGGAGCCGTTCCCCTGCAGGAGATCCATGGACACGTTTCGACAGCGGCGTCTGATTGGATGATGGATCTGACGCAAGTGCTTAACTGGATCCGTTGAGAATGGTTATGATGATGGTGATGATGACGACGATAATGACGTGATTTTCTCTTTTCTCTCTTATGCCCACAGTGATCTACAGGAAATACAGAGTTTCTCAACTTACTTCCAGTTGTAAGTTACTTACTCACCCATCCACCTACCCATCCATCCCCACATTTATCTATTTATTTATCCACCCATCCATCCATCATCCATCTGTCTGTCTGTACACACTACACAGCAAAATCCCCAGAGTTAAATGAACTCTGCTCAGATTACATATGGTCCAACTCTAAAGAGTGTTAAAGTAACTCTGAATCAGAGTTAAAGTTAATGAGATAATTAAGTGATTAATTAAGTGATAATTGAGCATTAGTGATGAACACCTGCTGATAACAAGCAGAATCACTGAAAGAAAGAGAAACAACAAGAACAGAAAAAAGATAAACACAAGAACTACAACTGACTTCAGCCACAGCCTTAGATGAAATCAACTGAAGATAAAGGAAGAAATTAAATCTCCGAAGATCTCATCAGAAGATTAAACAACTCCACAAACAGCATTACCAGCTTCACTTATTACTAACCAGTTTGACTTCTTATTACTTATCACTTATTACTTCCAGTTCTGCCATTCATCAGCAGAAGTTCTTATTCAGAATTAACCGAGTTTTAGATGTTGATGATATATTGAAAATGATTGGTCACCGTTATTGTGATCAGTGTGTCCTTTAGTTGGGCAGTTTGACTCTTGGCTGATTATGTGAATTTGTGGTCTTTGTAACAGTGTTTACCAAAATACATAATTTGTTGCAAAGGAAGCCAGAAACAAAGATGATCAGTTGAATAAAATAAAAAATAGAATAATCAGGTGAATAGAATAATAGAATAGAAAAGACACCAAAAGTGGTCCTTCTTTATTAATAGGTTATATTCACTGACAATACTTTCTTGCGACAGATCAGACATTCTGAATTTTGATTTTTAAAATACATTATGGGAAAAAAAAATCTTTAGACACACATAGACATCAAGAATCAACATATGAATCTCAACAATGGTGACATGCTTCATGCCGCAATGCACGCTGGGATCCATGAGTTTTACACTATGGTGGCTCCCAGCATGCATTGCGGCATGAAGCATGTCACCATTGAGTTGCATAAACTAGCATTTTTCTACTTTATGATGCTGAGCTCTATAACCTGATCATCATTGTTTTTGGTTCCCTATGCAACAAATTATGTGTTTTAGTAAACATTGTTACAAAGACCACAAACTCACATAATCAGCCAAGAGTCAAACTGCCCAACTTAATGAAACACTGATCACCATAATGGTGACCAAACATTTTGAATAAAACATCAACATCTAAACCTCTGTTAATTCTCAAAAACAATTTCTGTAAATGAATATCAGAAATAAAGTCAAATTTAAGTGAAGCTGGTAATGCTGTTTGTGGAGTTATTTATCCTCCTTTGCTCTGATATTGAGAGATTTAAGGTCTTCTTTAATCTTTAGTTGATTCCACCTTAGGCTGTGGCTGAAGTCAGTTGTAGTTCTTGTGTTTTACTTACATTCAGTGATTCTGCTTGTTAACAGCAGGTGTTCATCACTGATGCTCAATCATCACTTAATTAATGACTTAATTATCTCTTTAACTTTAACTCTGATTCAGAGTTACTTTAACACTCTTTAGAGTGGGGGCATATGTACTCAGAGCAGAGTTCATTTAACTCTGGGGATTTTGCTGTGTACCATTCAAAAGTTTGGGTTCGGTAAGATTTTAAAGAGCACCTATTCTGCTTCTTTCCATCTTCATCTGTCATTAGTGTGTAATTTTGCTGTTTGAGCATGAAAAAGTGAGTTATTCTCTATATCAGTGTCAATATTTCTGAACTCCCTGAAACGCCTCCATTGCAGTCTTAAGTTTCTTCCGGAAATAAACACGTCACAACATTCCTCATTTAAATAATCATACGCAGAATAAAGGGGCTGGTTGAGTTAGTTATTAGTGTGTTGAAACTGGAGGTTATGGTAAAGGACTGGCAGTGTTGGTGAGATGTTAACTACAAGTAGCAACGCTACTAACTTAACTACATGTTTTAGTATCAGTAGCTCAGTTGCTTTTAAAACAGTGTAGCTTTTCCAGTAGCGAACTGTTCTTTCCCCTCAGCAAGTAGCGGTGTAGTGCGACTAATACATTCTGTTGTGTCACGCATCTTTCAGCTTTACAGTTCCCGGAGAAGACATCTTCTGATGATTATAGGCTAAAGGACGCACAGGAGTGGCTTGAGGACTCCTGTACGTCTCGAAGACTTCAAGCACAAACAGGTGAATAGCCTTTTTAAATTGATGAATTATTCTGCATTATTGCACTCTATTTCAAAAGTGTCTATCAGATTTGATTACAACGATGATCCGCCATAGTTTGATCTCTCCGGCTACAGTTTAGTAAAGAAACTAAAAGATCACTAGTCAAGTCACCTTCATTCATTTATTCAAGGTTTGCGTTCTCGAGCTCCAGGCACTGTTGCTGTGCGGATGAGCGGCCGGAGCGTGTTAAGGGTTTTCTGTTAGAGCGGTGTCGTGTTAGCGGCCCCTAAGGGAATAACTAATGATCTTTGCAACGGAAGTGAATCAATAAAAACTAACTTTTGCTGGACAATAACTTTATTCTAGAGCTGCTGTAAAGCCAAAACCATCTCTGTTACTTTAATTTCATATTATCACTGTAAAGCTTCTTTGAAACAGTCTATATTGTTAAAGCGCTATATAAGGTGACTTGCTCATCACAGTTCAGTCTAGGTGTCAGAACCGCGTCTCCTCACAGCAGATCTCAGTCAAGTCATCTTCATTTATATAGCGCTTTTAACAATGTAGATTGTTCCAAAGCGGCTTTACAGTGATAAATAGGAAATTAAAGAAACAAAGATTATTTTGGCTTTATAGTAGCTCTAGAATAAAGTTATTTTCCAGCTAAAGTTAGTTTTGATTGATTCTCTTCCGTCGCAACGATCATTAGTTATTAACTTAGGGGCCGCTAACACGACACTGCTCTAACACAAAACTCTTAAGTTCTCTCTACGCAAACTTTAAAAAACGTGAGCCTGTGAGAACGCTGATAGCGTGCAAGTGCGTATTAAGAGCTCATTCTATAGGTTTGCGTGTTTGAATATATGTGCTTCCCTAAAAAACCAACCCTCAACAAACTACTTGTCTGGCCTTAAAATTTATAATACAGAATTTATTCTGTACTAAATCCTGACCGAAAATCCTCACAGATATTATTTCTTTCTAGAAAGGAACACAGTTGTGAAGATACTGCTTTTTCTAATATCTTTGACAGAAAAGGCAGATTCGAGATCGGCCTGTAATTGACTAATTCTGTAGGATCAAGTTGTGTTTTTTTAACAAGCGGTTTTATCATAGCCAGCTTAAAGGTTTTTGGTACGTATCCTAGAGACAAAGATGAATTAATGATATTAAGAGGAGGATATATGACCTCTGGAAGCATCTCTTTCAGTAGCTTAGCCGGTATAGGATCTAACATACAAGTTGTCGATTTAGATGATTTAACGAGTTTGCAGAATTCTTCCTCTCCTATAGCAACAAATGAATCAAATTTTTCCTCAGGGAGACTACAATGCACTGTCTGATGCGATACTGTGGTAGACGGTTGCATAGTTATAATTTTGTCCCTGATATTATCGATCTTATAAGTGAAGAAGTTCATAAAGTCATTACTGCTGTGTTGCTTAGAATCTTCTTGGCTTGAAACTTTATTTTCCGTCAGTTTAGCTACTGTTTCAAATAAATACCTAGGATTATGTTTATTTTCTTCTAATAGGGTTGAAAAATAAGCAGATCTAGCAGCTTTTAAAGCCTCTCTGTAAGCAATCGAGCTCTCTTTCCATGAAATGCGAAATACCTCTAGTTTAGTTTTCTTCCAGCTACGCTCCATTTTAACCCTAACCCTCTATGTGTGTGTGTGTGTGTGTGTGTGTGTGTGTGTGTGTGTGTGTGTGTGTGTGTGTGTGTGTGTGTGTGTGTGTGTGTGTGTGTGTGTGTGTGTGTGTGTGTGTGTGTGTGTGTGTGATTCATGTCACTGTTTCAACTCCTTTACACACTTTATAAGCTCTTCACGAGCTGGTCAAAACACCATCATATGTTGATACACACAGTTTTAGATGTTCGTTAAGTTCAGTCTAAAATACGTTTTGTTTTGTTTTCTTTAGGTTTGGTCTTAAAAATGACCGTGTGAACGCTAAGAGAACCAGGACTAAATGCATTATTTTCTTTCTTTTTTTTTTTTGTCTGGATCAAGAGAACTACAAGTGTGAAAACAGCCTTAAACTCCTCAGAACTCATTCTCATTAAACCTTTCTGATTATTATTATTATTATTAGTGCTGATGATGAATTGTTGAAGCCGTGTTAAAGAACCGCGTTTATTTGAAATACAAATCTCTGTGACATTATAAATGTCTTTACTGTCACTTGTATGACACTTGTAAAAGTATGAATTATTAAATAAGTATTCAAAACAAACATTTGAACAGTAGTGGATATTTAAAAGTATATTTTCCATTACATTTCAGTTCATTCTCATTGTATTCTCTCTTATTTTCCTTATCTTTTACTTCACTTGTATTTTTGACCTTTTAACCTTCAGCTGTAACTTGTCCTCCGCCTTTTGTGCCTAGCAACACCCTAGCAACCAGGCAGAGTTGTGTTGGTGAGTTTGCAGTAGTTTCTGTGCTGACGGATGTGTTGTTCTTCCTCTCCAGGACAAAAGCTCAGTTGTGACTATCAGTGATTTTATCTCCTGGCTTTAACAAAGGTCTTTCCTGCTTCATACACTGCTCGTTCACCTGTTCCACTCGTTCACCTGTTCACTCGTTCACCTGTTCCACTCGTTCACCTGTTCACTCGTTCACCTGTTCACTCGTTCACCTGACAGCAGGGAAGCCGTGTTGTGTGTATCGAATAAAACAAGCATCTGATGACTCTTTACATGAACAGGATGAAATCCTGATCGTCTGATTGACAGAAACACTTGAGCAACAGTGCAAAAAAGAGTGAAAAGAGACATCTATCACTCACTCACACACACACACACACACACACACACACACACACATCGCTCATAGTCATGAATATTGTGGCCCGGTTTCATTCATTCATCGTCTGTCAGATTGATAGTATTAAGAGAGGAAAGTGTCGTACCTGCCGCCCGTCGCTCCGTCCATCACAGACTCACACACACACACACACACACACTCTCTCTCTCTCAGGTGTGGGTGTATAGGAGGAGCGGTCTGATGTCATCAGGTCTGTTTCTACTCTTCCTGATTTCCCATCCACACACACACTGTTCATCTCAATCACTCTTCACATGTATCTGAATGTGTTTTTCATGATGGTCTTCAATCATATTCAGCATCCCGTTATGATATGAGCTTTTATTCTGCTGCAATGAAGTCAACAGAGTTACTGAAAATAGAAACTTTAATTGGATTTCTACTCCGGTAATCACAAATGACACATTTAGTAGTATAAATGTGTTTATGGGACGGCAACTACGAGAGGAAGTGATGTCATCAGCAATCGCTACTACAGGAAACATACCTTCTGTAACATGTCACGGCTAGGAGTGTTGATTGACAGCTGGTGTGTGGGGGAGGGGATAGGTTGTTGTCTTATCGCAACATATACAAAATATAAAATATTATATAATAATAATAACAATAGCAATCATATCAATAATAGACAAAGTCCATGTGTTGAATCAGTCCTTTACCATCCCACATCATAACCACAAGACAACATGAAACGGAGGGGGCGGGGCCGCGAGGCGCGAGGGGGCGGAGCCAAGGCGGTGATGTGGAGGAGGCGGGGCTTAGATGATGCCGTATTTGGCCAGATCGCTGAGCTCCATGTCCCCGAACGCCTCCCATGGGCACACCACGGTGATATCTGTCCCGGGACAAGACCACACCAGCGTTAGGGCTAGCACACACCGCACATGCTGTGTTATATAATACTGTTCTTATACTGGGACTCACCTGTGCCGAGACCCTCCATACCCGGAATATCATCACCAAACCTGCGGGCGAGAGAGACAAGCATTAATGTGTGTGTAAGTGTGTGTGTGTGTGTGTGTGAGAGAGAGAGAGAGAGAGTATGTTAGTACCCTTTCTGGCCGGGTTTGGGGGCCTTGCTCTTGAAGGTGCGGGTCTGCCTCTGCTTGAACTTGGGCGGGCCCTTCTTGGGTGTGGTGGGGCCGGTGGTGCTGGCGGGGGTGGCCAGAGCGCTGCCCGCTGGAGGAGCCGAGTTCATGTCTGAAACACACACACACACACACACACACAGCTTATCATCCCAGGATCACAGAGTCCTCTCCTTCATCATCAAGTGCTTCTTCTCCCGTATATGATCATAGATGAGTGTGATAACGTAAATACAGTCAGTCATGATCACAGAATAAAGCCCTTTACATTATTCCAAACGTCAATCAGATTATCATCTCACAATAATCCACGTCAAACTCTGTTTTTCATGTTGCCTCATTAAAACAGTTAATCTCATTAATATAACAGACTTATGAGATTTCCTTCATCCGACAGATCATGAAGTAGCACAGATTAACACACCTGAGTCTCTCTCTCTCTCTCTCTCTCTCTCTGTCTATCTCTCTGTCTATCTCTCTCTCTCTGTCTCTCTCTTTCTCTCTCTCTCTGTCTCTCTCTCTGTCTCTCTCTCTCTCTCTGTCTCTCTCTCTCTCTCTCTCTCTCTCTGTCTCTCTCTCTGTCTCTCTCTCTCTCTCTCTCTCTGTCTATCTCTCTTTCTCTCTCTCTCTCTCTCTCTCTCTCTCTGTCTATCTCTCTCTCTCTCTCTCTCTCTCTCTCTCTCTCTCAACTCTCTCTTTCTCTCTCTCTCTCTCTGTCTCTCTCTTTCTCTCTCAACTCTCTGTCTCTCTCTCTCTCTCTGTCTCAAATTCAAATTCAAATTCAAATGAGCTTTATTGGCATGACTTATACAGTATTGCCAAAGCATTGGCCATTACATAGGCAATGAACAAATAATCGATAAATTAATAATGTAAACAAATGCATGAATACATTACATTTATATCATAATGAATCAAAATGAAATATATCAAAATGACAAAAAAAAAAAAAAAAAAAAAAAAAAAAACACAGTTGAGTCAATTCAATTCAATTCAATTCAGAAAGCTTTATTGGCATGACAAAAAATACATTTTGTATTGCCAAAGCATCAAAACAACATAGAAAATGATTTAGAACATTTAGTACACAAAATAATACTGATAGCATAAAACCATAATAATAAAATAAACAAAGATTAATAAATAAAATATAAAGGATTTATAAAACATCTCTGTACAAAACAAAAAAAACAAGCAAAAAACAAACGAACACTGAACTTGGAATTGAACATATACATGTGTGTAGGTCTTAGGCTGTGAGTGAGTGTGTGTGAGTGTGTGTGTGTGTAGGTCTTAGGCTGTGAGTGTGTGTTTATTGGATGTTTGCTGGTCTCTGGTCGTCCCTCAGGATATGGCAGGATGCTACAAATTTTGCAGCTATATTTGAGCATTTGGCTTCTTCGCCAAGAATGAAACGGAGTTTTTGGGTTGGGTTACAGGTGTTAAATTGGGGAAATATTTGATTAATTTTGGGGTAATATTGGTCTCTGATATGTTCATATTTTGGGCATTCTGTGAGGAAGTGCAGCTCGGTCTCCGTCACTCCCAGGGTGCAGTGCGGGCAGAGTCTGTCCTCACGGGAGAGCCAGGTCTGTCTGCGCCGGCCCGTCTCTATGGCCAGGCTGTGCTCGCTGAGTCTGTACATCGTCAGGGTTCTCCTGAGTCTCACATCACTCACTGTGCTCAGGTAGTTCGCAACAGTGTACTCTCGATTTAGTGCCGAATAACATTCCAGTTTGTGTTGGTTTTTAATGGTGTTTGTCCAATGGGTGATGTACTTGTCTTGTTCTGTGGTGATAATTTGTGCGGGCCGAATGTGTGTGAGTGTGTGTGTGTGCTGAGGCGAGCTGATCTCTGCAGGAGAGAGCCCAGTCAGTCTCAGCACCCGCTGGCACAGGGGACTCCTCGCTACGCTCAGCTCTTGGTGTTGTAGGGCTTTGTAATGGTATGTGTTGGGGTCGCTTGTTTTTAGGTGTTTCCAGAATTTGATGGCTCTTTTTTGGATGTTTAGAAGGAGAGGGTATTGGCCTAATTCTGCCCTGCATCCGTTGTTTGGTGTTTTCCTTTGGACTTTGAGAATTCGTTTACAGAAATCTAAATGTAGAGTTTCAATTGGATGTTTTTCCCAATTTAAAAAATCAAATTTGATAGAAGGACCCCACACTTCACTGCCATATAAAACAATCGGTTCAATTATTGATTTGAAAAGTTTGAGCCAAATTTGGATTGGGATGTCAATTTTGATTGATCTTTTTATGGCATAGAAAGCCCTTTGAGCTTTCTCTTTGAGTTCATTCACAGCCAAAGTAAAGTTGCCAGTTGGAGTTATTTTCAGGCCGAGGTAGGTGTATGTTTTTGTGCTCTCAATGGTTCTGTGTGATAGTGTGAATGTGTGTGTTGGTCCCTGAGATCTGGAGCGTTTCTGGAACATCATGACTCTAGTTTTCTGGAGGTTGACGGTCAGGGCCCAGGACTGACAGTAATCCTCCAGCAGATCCAGGCTGTCCTGAAGCCCCTCTTTAGTGGGCGACAGGAAGACCAGGTCGTCTGCGTAGAGAAGACACTTGATCTCGGTGTCGTGTAGAGTGAGACCTTGAAAGGGAGCATGTTCTAATATATCGGCTAATTGGTTGATGTAAATGTTGAAGAGGGTGGGGCTTAAACTGCAGCCCTGTCTCACTCCACGCCCCTGGGAGTCTCTCTCTCTCTCTGTCTCTCTCTCTCTCTCTCTCTCTGTCTCTCTCTCTCTCTCTCTGTCTATCTCTCTCTGTCTCTCTCTCTCTCTGTCTCTCTCTCTGTCTATCTCTCTCTGTCTCTCTCTCTCTCTCTCTCTCTCTCTGTCTATCTCTCTCTGTCTCTCTCTCTCTCTGTCTCTCTCTCTGTCTCTCTCTCTGTCTATCTCTCTCTGTCTCTCTCTCTCTGTCTCTCTCTCTCTCTGTCTATCTCTCTCTCTCTCTCTCTCTCTGTCTATCTCTCTCTGTCTCTCTCTCTCTGTCTCTCTCTCTCTCTCTCTCTCTCTCTCTCTCTGTCTATCTCTCTCTGTCTCTCTCTCTCTCTGTCTCTCTCTCTGTCTATCTCTCTCTGTCTCTCTCTCTCTGTCTCTCTCTCTCTCTGTCTATCTCTCTGTCTATCTCTCTCTGTCTATCTCTCTCTCTGTCTCTCTCTCTCTCTCTGTCTATCTCTCTGTCTATCTCTCTCTGTCTATCTCTCTCTGTCTCTCTCTCTCTGTCTCTCTCTCTCTCTCTGTCTATCTCTCTGTCTATCTCTCTCTCTCTCTATCTCTCTGTCTCTCTCTCTCTCTCTGTCTCTCTCTCTCTCTCTGTCTATCTCTCTGTCTATCTCTCTCTCTCTCTATCTCTCTGTCTATCTCTCTCTCTCTCTCTGTCTCTGGAACAGATGCTCGTTCATCTGATCATGAATATTTCATATGATACACATGTCAGTTTTCCTGCTTTAAGCACAAAAGTGTAGAATAGAGTCCTGATTAAACTATTCTAAATTATACCAACATCAACAACTGGACAGAGGTAATAGATCAGACCAGAGATTGAAAACAGAGTGTGTTAGGGTCTCTCTCTAGAGTAAAGAGTGTGTTACCTGCGTCTGCTGTCGGTGAGCGGTGTGTGTGTGTCCGTGTCTCTCTCTCTCCGTCTGGAATAAGGGTTGTCCATCTCTCCGTCTCTCTTATAGTCTCACTGGAGGTCAGAGAGCAACTCCACCCTCTCCCGTTAGGGAAACACTAATCCACTTAATGCTCTGTGTGTGTGTGTGTGTGTGTGTGTGTGTGTGTGTGTGTGTGTGTGTGTGTGTGTGTGTGTGTGTGTGTGTGTGTGTGTGTGTGTGTGTGTGCGCGCGCGCGGTCATGACTCTTTAATCTCAGGGTTATGGTCTCGTTTCATGAACATGTGAACACCACACATATACACACATGAATATGGACACAAGAAAATGGACAAAATAATGTTTGACTGGAAAAGTCTGACGCTCAGACACACGCCTGGACATTTAAACGTACAGAAGAGATTAAGATAATGGTCGGGGTGGTTTTAATGGTTTTGTTTTAAACTAGACAATTCCCATAAAGTATCAATGAAGAAATGATTGGTTGTTTAAGGTGAAAAATAGCCATTTGTCAAAGAATCTAATGTATATTTTCTTTAATAAAGTAGCCATTTCAGTGACAATGTTGAGAAATATTGAGTATGACTTTAATTTCAATTATTTGCTTCTCTGATTTCTACTGTAGTTGAAAATTACATTCTGTTGTTTTATTTTCTGCCCATGTTATATATATGTAATTTATTTGCTGTAGAATAAAATGTCCCTTTGTTAGCACTTAAAATTAATGCATGTAGAGAATGTGGACTGATGTCTATAGCAGAATTCTTTCTGTCTACATTAATTCACACAGTTTAAGGATTGTATTTCTCAGTTGTATATTTGAGAAGAGCTTGAATGTGTAGCAGACAGATGTGGGAAGATTGAGATTACCAATATAGCAGTTTGAGACCCAGACAGCACCATAGTGTCGGTCCAGATCCGGCCCACATCTGGACCGTGTGGAATCCACGTGTACCAGATATAGGCCGAATCTGGGCTGACACTATGTTGCTGTCTGGGAGATCAGCACTTCTTATTCTATATGACAGATGATTTAATGCAGTAGAGCTCATAATCTTGGGTTAATCTGCTCTAAACTAGCACCAAACAATCTCTGAGCTTTAACAGAGTCCTGAGAGAAGAACAGGTGACGCACTGTGCCGTAAACTTCAAACACACACATACTAAACCAGAACTGTTCAGCTGAACCAAACCCTGAAGAAGAATGCGCCTAGACACGACCAAAACACATGCTGTAGTCAGCCAGATCCGGGCCGTATCCAGATCAGATGGAGGACCTGCGCCTAGACACGACCACAACGCATGATGTAGTCAGCCGGATCCGGGCCGTATCCAGATCAGATGGAGGACCTGCCCCTAGACACGACCACAACGCATGATATAGTCAGCCGGATCCGGGCCGTATCCAGATCAGATGGTGGACCTGCGCCTAGACACGACCACAACGCATGATGTAGTCAGCCGGATCCGGGCCGTATCCAGATCAGATGGAGGACCTGCCCCTAGACACGACCACAACACATGATGTAGTCAGCCGGATCCGGGCCGTATCCAGATCAGATGGAGGACCTGCGCCTAGACACGACCACAACACATGATGTAGTCAGCCGGATCCGGGCCGTATCCAGATCAGATGGTGGACCTGCGCCTAGACACGACCACAACACATGATGTAGTCAGCCGGATCCGGGCCGTATCCAGATCAGATGGAGGACCTGCCCCTAGACACGACCACAACACATGATGTAGTCAGCCGGATCCGGGCCGTATCCAGATCAGATGGAGGACCTGCGCCTAGACACGACCACAACACATGATGTAGTCAGCCGGATCCGGGCCGTATCCAGATCAGATGGTGGACCTGCGCCTAGACACGACCACAACACATGATGTAGTCAGCCGGATCCGGGCCGTATCCAGATCAGATGGTGGACCTGCGCCTAGACACGACCACAACACATGATGTAGTCAGCCGGATCCGGGCCGTATCCAGATCAGATGGAGGACCTGCGCCTAGACACGACCACAACGCATGATGTAGTCAGCCGGATCCGGGCCGTATCCAGATCAGATGGAGGACCTGCGCCTAGACACGACCACAACACATGATGTAGTCAGCCGGATCCGGGCCGTATCCAGATCAGATGGTGGACCTGCGCCTAGACACGACCACAACACATGATGTAGTCAGCCGGATCCGGGCCGTATCCAGATCAGATGGAGGACCTGCGCCTAGACACATCCACAACACATGATGTAGTCAGCCGGATCCGGGCCGTATCCAGATCAGATGGAGGACCTGCGCCTAGACACCACCACAACGCATGATTTAGTCAGCCGGATCCGGGCCGGATCCAGATCAGATGGTGGACCTGCGCCTAGACACGACCACAACGCATGATGTAGTCAGCCGGATCCGGGCCGGATCCAGATCAGATGGAGGACTTGCGCCTAGACACGACCACAACACATGATGTAGTCAGCCGGATCCGGGCCGTATCCAGATCAGATGGAGGACCTGCCCCTAGACACGACCACAACGCATGATGTAGTCAGCCGGATCCGGGCCGTATCCAGATCAGATGGTGGACCTGCGCCTAGACACGACCACAACGCATGATGTAGTCGGCCGGATCCAGATCAGATGGTGGACCTGCGCCTAGACACGACCACAACGCATGATGTAGTCAGCCGGATCCGGGCCGTATCCAAATCAGACGGAGGACCTGCGCCTAGACACGACCACAACACATGATGTAGTCAGCCGGATCCGGGCCGTATCCAGATCAGATGGAGGACCTGCCCCTAGACACGACCACAACGCATGATGTAGTCAGCCGGATCCGGGCCGTATCCAGATCAGATGGTGGACCTGCGCCTAGACACGACCACAACGCATGATGTAGTCGGCCGGATCCAGATCAGATGGTGGACCTGCGCCTAGACACGACCACAACGCATGATGTAGTCAGCCGGATCCGGGCCGTATCCAAATCAGACGGAGGACCTGCGCCTAGACACGACCACAACGCATGATGTAGTCAGCCGGATCCGGGCCGTATCCAGATCAGATGGAGGACCTGCGCCTAGACACGACCACAACACATGATGTAGTCAGCCGGATCTGGGCCGTATCCAGATCAGATGGAGGACCTGCCCCTAGACACGACCACAACGCATGATGTAGTCAGCCGGATCCGGGCCGTATCCAGATCAGATGGAGGACCTGCGCCTAGACACGACCACAACACATGATGTAGTCAGCCGGATCCGGGCCGTATCCAGATCAGATGGTGGACCTGCGCCTAGACACGACCACAACACATGATGTAGTCAGCCGGATCCGGGCCGTATCCAGATCAGATGGAGGACCTGCGCGTAGACACGACCACAACGCATGATGTAGTCAGCCGGATCCGGGCCGTATCCAGATCAGATGGAGGACCTGCGCCTAGACACGACCACAACACATGATGTAGTCAGCCAGATCCGGGCCGTATCCAGATCAGATGGTGGACCTGCGCCTAGACACGACCACAACACATGATGTAGTCAGCCGGATCCGGGCCGTATCCAGATCAGATGGAGGACCTGCGCCTAGACACGACCACAACACATGATGAAGTCAGCCGGATCCGGGCCGTATCCAGATCAGATGGAGGACCTGCGCCTAGACACGACCACAACACATGATGTAGTCAGCCGGATCCAGGCCGTATCCAGATCAGATGGAGGACCTGCGCCTAGACACGACCACAACACATGATGTAGTCAGCCGGATCCGGGCCGTATCCAGATCAGATGGAGGACCTGCGCCTAGACACGACCACAACACATGATGTAGTCAGCCGGATCCGGGCCGGATCCAGATCAGATGGTGGACCTGCGCCTAGACACGACCACAACACATGATGTAGTCAGCCGGATCCGGGCCGTATCCAGATCAGATGGAGGACCTGCGCCTTGTGTGTTTCCCAAAAGGATTGTTATCCAACTATGGTCACAAGTTCCTGTCGTTATCAGCAGTTCAACAACTCAGTGTTTCCCGAAACCATCGTTCCAACGAACATTCGCAAACGGCATTGCAAAGTTGTGTGGTTAGAACGACAGCTTTCGACCTGTGGTTATAGGCAGAGTTTCTTGTTTGCATGACATGTGGACTCAATAAATCCTTATCTTGAGCCATATAAGCAAGCTGACATTCAGTACAATCTTATCTTTTATTTAGAATACATACAAATGTAATTTACGTCTTTTAGTTTGTCAAGAGATTTAAAGTGCTTTTGCTATAGTGCAAAACCGGTATTAAGGCATGCCATTATTTTCAATTCATATCACAGAGTAAAGAACAGTTACTTTTGCTCTAATGACAAATCATTGAGGTTTTGCTTTTTCAGAGAAAGACGACTAGATTGAAGAAACATCAGGGGTTTGTTAATTCAGTCTGTTGATCAGTTAAACATGGACGATATTGTCACGGTTCTGTTATGTTTGGACTTTTTTTTGCCATTTTCCCACCTGAGTTTGTCACCATAGTTACTGATTTAATTTAATAAATCTATTCAGCTGGTCGTCATTAATTACCTTGTTTGATCTGTGTAAGTCCTTGTGTTTCATTTGAGTTTTGTTGGGTCTTGTTTATTCTACGGATGTGTTTCCTTGCCTGCCTTTTGTTTAATTACCTGTGGATACTATTAAAGACCGATAACTGATAGTGACAGTAGGTTACAGTCACTATTTGTCTATCTGGTTACAGTCACTGGTGACAGTAAATTAGTTAGTTGATTAGTTGGTTGGTTATAATTGATTGGTTAGTTAGTAAGTTAGTTAGTTGGTTGATTGGTCGGTCGGTCAGCCGGTTAGGCTGTTATTTGTTAGTTGGTTGGTTGGATAGTTAGTTGGATAATCAGTTAGTTAGTTAGTTAGTTAGTTGGATGGTTAGTTAGTCAGTTAGTTAGTTAGTTAGGGTTACTCTTCATGTCTTGTGACTCTCTTCTTGGTGGAGGCTCATTGTGTCCATATCTAAACATAAAGCTCAGGATCGTCGATGAGACAGTGATCAAGATCTGTCGTTTTTGACAGA